TGAAATGGAGGCGGGGTGGGTGGGCGTGGTGAATTCTATGTTCTTTGGTAAACTGAGAATGGGAATAGAACGTAAGCTGTTAAAAAAAAGCGTTAATCGCAATTTTTTTTATACTACTTATTTGCTACATTTATTTCTTATTTTTGAAGAAAAAAATGAGAGAACGGGTGGGTGGGCGGGGCTAAGTTTAATTTTTTCAAATAGAATCTTTTATAAGTAAGAAATAGCCCCGCCCACCCACCCCCTCTTCATTCCAGTGATTTCTCTTAATATTGTTCAGCCATTTACCAAAATCAATTTTCCGCCCTCTATGTTCTTAGGGGGTACGTAATTGATGAGCTCATCACAAAATTGTGTAAAGTAAAATCTCAACTCGAAAATGCTGGATTTGTTTCATTGTACTTTCGGTGCGAGGTAAGTTCTGTTTAAACAACTTTCGACCAATTTTTACTTCCCGAGCGTAAGCAAAGGAAGTATTGTAATCGAGTCCGTCGGCCGACTCTCTACTTTTAGGTTTTCTCGATCTTTCATGACCCCTAGAAGACGAAGAAATAGGTCTCCCATTTCCGTCTGTCTGTCCGTCTGTCCGTCCGTCTGTCCGTCTGTCCGTCTGTCCGTCTGTTGTCACGGATTTTTATTAGACAGATAATCTCCGAAAGTACTCGACCGATTGTTGTGAAATTTTGTACTTATATTAAGAATATCATGTAGATGGTAAAACGCTAACCAAAATTTGTCGAATCATCCCCACCACTAAAGCGATGACGTCACTTCAAAATTGTACATAGTAAATGGGTTTTCAATTGTATAAAATAACATAGTCCTACACATGTAGTTTACAACTCTGAATCGACTTTTCACCCGAAACGTCCAGATTTTTGGAAAAAAAATCAAAATTATAAAACAACATTTTGAAATTTAATTTTTAATCTGCTAACCAGAATGCTTTGAAATGTTGCAGATGTTTTAAGGCTATAAAGAGTATCATAAATCTTTAGTCAAAAAATATTTGCTTACCCCCTCCAAAAACTTGATGACGTCAGCTCAAAAGTTTGTGGAATAAATCATATCTAAAATGTACAAAATATGATGAGTCTGTACTTGTGATCTATCACTCCATTCATATTTTTTGGATTTGCATATACAGGGTGACTCAAAAAAATTAATGAATGCGTAAATATATTTTATTGATTTAATCAGGAACTACAAAACCGAATGCTCTGAAATCTTGCAGATGTTTTAAGGTCATAAAGAGCATAATAAATGTTTAGTCAAAATATATTTGCTTATCCCCTCCAAAAACTTGATGACGTCAGCTCGAAAGTTTGCCGAATAAATCTTATCTAAACTGTACAAAATATGATGAGTCTGTACTTGTAATTTATCACTCCATTCATATTTTTTGGATTTGCATATACAGGGTGACTCAAAAAAATTAATGAATGCGTAAATTTATTTTTTCGATTTAATCATGAACTGCAAAACCGAATGCTTTGAAATCTTGCAGATGTTTTAAGGTTATAAAGAGCATAATAAATGTTTAGTCAAAATACATTTGCTTATCCCCTCCAAAAAATTGATGACGTCAGCTCGAAAGTTTGCCGAATAAATCATATCTAAAATGTACAAAATATGATGAGTCTGTACTTGTGATCTATCACTCCATTCATATTTTTTGGATTTGCATATACAGGGTGACTCAAAAAAATTAATGAATGCGTAAATTTATTTTACTGATTTACTCAGAAACAACAAAACCGAATTCTTTGAAATCCACTGCGAAAAAAAAAAACATAATAGGCATGCAGTCGTCACGTTTCCGACAGCGAGGGAAGTACTGTCGAAACTCTTTAGACCAATTTTTTATTGTTAGAATTATACTGTACGTGGCGGAACTGACATAGGTGTCCTCGCTGAAATGTTAATCGGAACATTTTCCGTTGGATAACTCACTTGAAACACATATAACTTGTGCTTTAGTCTCCGTTTTATTTCATCGATGGAGAAGTGCGAACTGACACTCCGCGCCAGACCAAATATAAACAAATCAACAGAGTGTGTCATATTAAATTTTGGGAAATTGATTTTTATTTTGGTAAAGCTTTGTCTATCTTTATATAAAACACAGGCAAATGTTTTTACGCTTGAATTTTATTGCTTCAAACATTTGTTCAATTAATCTCGTACAACTAAATGGCAGAAATTTTTATTTGTCGCACTTTGTGGCGTCTTGAGGACGAAAAATCGCTGTCGCAAAAAAATGCGCAAGAACGTTGTTATGCGGTAATAGTGATTAATTAAGCGAATTATTTTTTCTTTACTTAAAATTAGAATTTTTTAACTTCTAACTGTCTCTTTTATTATAGTAATTTGGAACAAACGTGTGTCTTATTTACAATTAATTTATACAAATTGGACATTTTAGGTGAGATTAACGTAACACAAAGAAATGATTACGTCAAGAAAAAAATCACGTTTATATGATTGTTTAAACTTCTCTAGACACTCGTTTTTTAAACACTCGCTCCATTTATAAAAACGGTTACATAAAAGATTGTGTAATTGAGCTAAAGTAGCAAATTCATCCAGAAGGGGCTCTACCAAGATGGAGTTTTTTAGTTCAACCCATTGTGGATACACCATGATTACCGCGTCCGTGGAGTTTGAGACACACAATGAGAATGAACTAACCCATATATGTAGGTCTGCTTATTTTTCAAGCGAGTTTGTGTACCAGGAAAGTGGTACTCTACTGACTGCTCGCGCATAAGGTGAGTCTGGAAGTTTAAACAATGGAGGCTTTGTTCTACCCACTATACTCAGGTCAGAAAGGAGAGGTTCACTTGATCGGAAAAGGATGTAGGTAAGCGAAGAAAAATGTTGCTTTTTCGCTTGCCGGGCGAGTGCCATTACCACTAGACTACGGAGGAGCTTATCTTTCTCCGCTTACCATATGCTACTTAAAAACGATATACGACTGTTTTTTTTGTTTGTGAGAGCTTGTAACAAAGTAAAGTAACCCGAACAGAGTATTGCTTTCGTGGTGTTAAGATGTGTGGAAGTTCACAAAGAACGTTACGTACTTCCGAAAACGCTGCGAATGGAGCTTTAGATAAAAAGCATGTTTCGGCGAGTTTGGGATACGTGACAGTTTTTGTTGGAAAGCCTGTATATGTTTTAACGTGAGAATTAAGTTTAAGCGTAAGTCCAAATTTAATATTGGATAAAGATTTGAATGGTTAAAGAAGATTTAAAGAAGTTTTTAATAAAACGGCGTAATATCCTTTGGAAAATTATGAACAGATTTGCAGTATAGTATTATAGATAAAATCCAAACATAAGCTCGTAGATATTTTTTATGAATATATGGATTTTCTGAACACAGTCTAAGTAAAATATCTTCGCGTAACTTTACGTGTGTCTTTCAAACTTATAATGTATATGACACACGAAAATCGATTTTAAGCTGTAAAAGATCACGACAAACCGCTAAATCTGAGCCGTGAACTTTTATAACCCCAGGACACTGTGTCGTGAAAAGAAGTTTACATTTTAAACGAACGATCAGAATGTGCTTAATTGTAGAATCTCATTTAATTTTGTCCTTTATGGAATGAAATGTTTTAACAATAGACATACTGTTACCAAATTCGCAGTTATTGAGTTCCTCCAGAATATTGTATTCAAATCAAGAACATTCGTCGTTATTCGTATTCATCGTTACCCTTCTCTTTACTACACTTTAGTTTTGGGGACTTCTCTGCCGCACTTCAAGGGTCTGCTACGGCTGAATTCTTGCACACATAAGAAAATAAAGATATTTTATAACTTGAATAGAGGAAAAGGATCATACGATGGTAATGTTTGGAAAGTTGGAAAATGCTGTCACCGACGGATCCTCGACGTATTTAATTTAGAGAAGTAATAATTCTGCGTCGATATTCAAATATTTTAGTTTGATGTGAATTCATCGAGGACATTTCTCAGTGCCTACATCAAACAGAAACTTTTTATTCCGACATCAAGAGAACGTAGTTTTAGTACAAAGTTGTAACAAAGCAAATTTTATAACCCGCCAAGCGCCGTAAAAGTCGCAAAAACGCGTAAATCAGCAGTTGAAAATACTGTTATAATGTCATTTACAATTATCACCAATTCAGTTAAATAACAAATACGTTTTTCTAGTTCATCAGTCAGGTTAAATAATAATCGTGATTGCAGTCGTACATTAAAAACAAACTAGTGTGTTAATGCGAACATTATTCACATATTATCCGCATTTCCAGCTTTTATCATTATTAACTTAATAGGTAAATGGATCCACATAAAGTTGTATGAAAATTTGGCGTAAATGGAATTTGAAAGGGAGAATTAAAGGCAGGCATTCTAATGGAAAATAAATCTAATAACCCTGGACAATTACCCTCACGTTCTTCCGTAAATTTAATAGCTGACCGAGCTTGTCGTGACTTTTTTTGACACACGAATTTTTTTTCTAATGTTTCAGACCTCCAAGATTTTTAATAAATCCCTCTAATTCATTATTTTCCTTTAATGTCCAACTTTCTAAATTATAAACCCTCATAAATCTCTAAATAAAGGGAAGAGCATATTATTGACGCCACAGGCAGAAAAAATACGACCTACATCGTCGTGTTTGTTTACCTATTGGCGGTCTAAGCTTTAAAGAATAGAAAATTCGTGCTGCATGGATGGACGCTATATTTTTTGCTCAAGGGTTAGAAACTTCTATTATTAACTCTATGAAAGTTTCAGACCACATTATCTGATTTATTATTTAAAATTTACTGTTTATAGAACTTATTGATAAATGCAATTCTTCTTGAGTGCAGCACGTAACTGTTTAAACTGCAGGAAATTGACAATTAGATTTAATTTGAAACAATTATGACCTAATGAATTCAACCTTGTTTTGGAGCGAAATGTACTAAAAAAATAACGTATTTGCGCGGTACGTTTATCTGGCCATAATGCAACCGAACAGTTTTTCAATGTCGCTAACATTGTTGCAATGTAAAACATTGCAGTCAGCTTAACGTGACTTAAAACTGTATTTTTCATGTTTAATTTGCTTTAATCGTGTCTCGTCGGTCCGAATAGTAGAGTGTGCAACGAATGCATTGTTGTTGTTGTTGTGTGATGTACGTATTACGAGCTGAAAATCTTGAAGGTTCAATTAAAAATGTAAGTAACTGGTGAATTCTGATTGGTCACATTTTACAAGTTGTGTGTACTTTACTATTATTTCGCTAATTGTAATTGTTATAAAAATAGAGTGTGTTTATAAGTTCAATTAGGTCCAAAACGTAAGATTGGAAGCATCATCTTAAGATTTTTCCCAACAAAGTTCTTCAAATTTATGAGTGTTTACTCTAGACCCAGTTTTTTGAAAAAAAAAAAAAAACAAATGTGCTTACCCAACGAAAGAAAGCTCTCATCTGCGTTAAGGAGACAAAATCAATCAAATTTCATTTTTTTTTAACGCAAATGCTTGCTATTTGAACGTGCTAATAGTCGAATTATGTCGAAATGTAGCATGTACTGAGAAAATGAGAATACATTTTTCTCGTTGGTTATCTGCTTTAAAAATAATGTTCATATTGTCCGCCCGCACACGATAGAATTTATCCAGCAAAATTTGATAATGATGTCATCAAGTTTTTGGACGGGATAAGCAGACGAATTTGGATTAGCGGTCTACAATGCTTAGGTTTTGCAGTAAATTGTAAAATGTGATACAATTCTGATGGTTTTGAGTGTAAGTTTAGGGAAGGAAAAAATAGGTCCCCCGTTTCTTTCTTTCTGCCTGTTTATGGTTGGTTTGTGATTTTAGTACACAGATAATATTCAAATTTATTGGACTCAAATTTTATATGTACTTTAGGAATATCGTGTACCTAGATGTAATACGCAAACCAAAATTTGTTCAATTACCCCCACCAACAATTTGGTACGTATCTCAAAATTTTACATAGAAAAGCCAATTAAATTTTGTAAAATAATATAAAGTAGTCCAAGAGCTATAAGGTTATACGACCATCATAAAAGTAGTTGACCGCAAATAAATACCCCCTTTGTGTGGTGCGCACGAAGCTTACCGATTGGCAATAAATCGTTTTCTAAACATTTCTTGCTTAGATTTAGATATTTAGTGAAAACCGCCCCTGAACGAAACGAGAACAGCCTTTTCTATTGTAAACAACTTAACTTCGACACAAACGGATAATTTTATGATGGTCATATAAGCTTATAGCTCTTGGACTACTATACTTTTATACTTGTGATTTATGAATACGGCTGCTTTTTTATCCTAGATATCTAGATTTTTGAAAAAAAATCAAAACTATAACATTTTGTAATTTAACTTAGAACTGCAAAACCGAATGTTCTGAAATTTTACAAATCGCTAATCAGAATTTATCTCTTTAACCCCTGTTCCAAAAGCTTGATGACGTCAAATAGATAAATCCTATTTAAAATATTGTTACGAAAAAAAACCCATACGCAGCCCCGGTACGACGCCCATGGCTCTTCTAGTATGGATGTGTTCATTCTGGTATGTACGGCGGTGATGACTCATCAGACGGTGAGGCGGCGTTCGCTGACGAAAAGCCTGGAAGCGGAAGTCGCGATCGGCAACCGAGAAAACCCTCGAAGCGGCGTTCTATAGATGATATGTCCTTTGGCAAAATCAGTCTTGTCCTGGCAAGTGCCAGCCCCACCCACCCGCCCTTCGTTTTCTTAGAGAGTAGGTGATTTGCCATAATCAGTCTTGTCATGGGCAAATACTAACCCCGCCCACCCGCCCTTTATTAGCTTAGAAGGTATGTTATTTGGCAATATCAGTCTTATCTTTGAAAATACTAGCCTCGCCCACCCACATTTTATTTTTTTAGAGAGTAGGTCATTTGCCAAAATCAGCCTTATTTTGGCAGGAACTATATAATGATCGTTTTCCGGGTTGGAACCGTGTTAATTGAGTTTTTGGGCTCAACGTTTCGCACACTTTCGTAAGTGGCATCTTCAGGACCAGGGTTAAGAATAAGGCAAAAGAGCACCGTCGTAATATTTCCAGGAACTATATATGTTTAAATAGAGGCCACCGTCGGGAACGATGATTATTCAGTCACTCTAGTCCACGAGAGTACAGTCAAGTTGCGTCGGAATCATTTTGTACATAATCGCTGCATAATAATCAGTCGCGTAATTATAGTTATTAAGAAGTAAATTGTTGAGTTTAACCACGCCGATTTTATTCACCGATCAACGCAATAATATAATAACTCTATGCTTTAGTTTACAAATGCATTAATATTTTTTTAATTAATTATACAAGGTGAGTAAAAAAAGTAATGCATTAGTTCATTTTTCTACTCGACTAAATAAACTTGGACCAATTTTTTTTCAAGAATTTGAATGTTTAAGATGAAAAATTAGACGGATTCGTAAATTCAAGGTATAAAAGTGTCATTTTTAAAAATTGTAAAAACTGCAAAATTCTAAAATTTTGGTTAGCATTTCACGATATTCCTAAAATACGTCTATAATATTATAACGTGTGAACGTGTGAACCTGTGTCGCTGTCTCCTGACTCCTCGCTCTGAAAATAAGTAATCTTAACCAAAATTTAAGCTTCAACATGACACGAGGTGGTGCTAAAGCTAAAAGTGATGTCTTGTGTGACGTAAACTGCGAAAGTTTAAAACACTTTATCAAAAAAATCGTCGAAGATGCTACGAAAAATCTTCTCGATAAAATCGCTGCCCTAGAAGAACAGGTGAACGAATTAAGAACAGCAAATAATCAGCTAACGAAGGAAATCAACATTAAATTTAACAAAAGACGATGTGATGATGAATATTCGTCCTTGGACAATTCTAATGTCTCCACCGAGACGGTTATCTACAATGATGATACCCTGCCCCACAAAAACACCTTAGAAAACAACGGTGTAAAGAATAGCAAGAAAAATTCCGCTAAATCAAGAAAAATAGTGACAGGATGTGCAAATAATGAAGTTACGGACTCAGATTTCGGCGGACCCAAACCACAGTTATGGTTACATTTATTCAGGTGTAATAAGGACACCACCGAGGCGAAAGTGGCGTCATATCTCAATAAAAAGCTTCCCGACCAAAAGTTTCAGATCTTTAAATTGGACTCTAAAGGTGTGTATAAATCCTTTCGTATCAACACGGACTATGATGATATTATCGTGAAACAACTGTACAGTCCAGAATTTTGGCCTTCAAACGTCGAAGTCCAACGCTACAGGTTTTTTCACGAGAGTAAACCAAAATTTGACACCAGAACCTCATCGTCATCAGGAGGACTGTGATCCAAATCAGTTGAAAAAGTACTCAACCAATTCTAACATTAAACCTGATCTTACGTTCTCTTCATGTTCGTCCCTAACTGGTAGTAAACAAGTAACCCAAGAATTACAAGATAGCCGAGAAGTACCCATATTGAAGTTGACTGAAATTTTGTTCTTCAATATCCAATCAATTAGGAATAAAATGGATCTGCTTGAATCCCTTCTCCTGAAGAATAAAATATTTTTTTCAGTGCTGTGTATTAGTGAACACTGGCTGTTAAAACAAGAGTGTGAATCTCTTATTATAAGCCAATACAATCTGTCTTCATACTTTGCTAGGACCTATGGATATGGAGGATCGCTGATTCTCACTCACAACTCCCTTATTTGCAATAACATCCCTGAAGTCACCAACTTGTCGCAGGAAAAAGTATGTGAAATGTCGGCAGTGTTTATCCCTGCATTAAATTTGACTGTTCTTTCCATATATAGAAGTCCCTCTGGTAAGCACTCTGATTTCCTGATAATTTTGAATCAAGTGTTGGATTTATTATATGACAATAGGAAAAGTTTACTTATTGGTGGTGACTTTAACTCATCATTTACTGTACCAAATGAAGATACTCGTAACTTAACTAACTTGCTGCTTAGTCACGGCTTAAGGCCACATGTTAATTTTCCTACTAGATTAGGAAATGGCTTAGATAACATTTTCACAAATCTAGATATGTCACTAGTTAGGGTTACTAATCTTAATACAGGTATATCTGACCATAGTGCTCTTAGTCTACAAATTATAACTGAGACAAACTTATTAAACAAAAGTAAAAAAGTTTCTAAATCGTTTCGCCCTTTTACAGGCTTGGGTAAAACTATGTTTTTTAATAACCTAAAGAAGTTAGACTGGACCTTTATAACTCTAGATAATATAAATATTAATAGCAAATTTAAAAAATTTATTGATGTAATCTATGCTGAATATATAATATGTTTTCCAAAAAAAACATACTCAAAGGTAATAATAATTGTGATAACCGAGCTAAGGTTAAGTGGTTTAACTATGAGTTACAAATCATGCGAAGTAATTTGTTATTTCTGGACGATTTGTACATATGTACAAAAAATAATTTAATTAAAGAATATAAAACATTGTATAGAAATATGTATCGCAAAAGCATAGAGAAAGCAAAACGTGAGGCGAATAATAAATATATAGGTACTGCAGTAAATAAGTCTAAGGCTATGTGGGACGTAATAAACAGTAAACGAAATAAAAATAATTATAAAAATTTAGACAGCGATATCTCACCTGATGTTTTTAACAATTATTTTAATAATATCGCCAATGATATACTAGAAAATGTACCTGACCCCAAATATGATCCTATAGGATTGATGTGTAATAATAATAATGTTTGTAATAATGTTACCAAGTATTTTCGTTTTACTGAAGTTTCTGAGAGCTGTGTGCGAGATGTTATTACAAATTTAAAGTCGAGTAAATCTAGAGACATATATGGCTTCAGCATGGAATTAATAAAAAATGTGAAAGATGTCATCATTACGCCACTCACCAAATTAATAAATCTATGCATACAAAACAAAACTTTTCCTAAATGTTTGAAAACAGGGATTGTCATACCAGTGTTCAAAAAAGGTGAAATAAATGACAAGAGTAACTATAGACCTATATCCCTATTACCTGTCTTTTCGAAAATTTTAGAGAAAGTGTTATGTATACAATTAACGAAATTTTTTGAAGACAACAAAATCTTAGTTAAAAACCAATTTGGATTCCGTAAAGGGTGCTCAACATCTGACGCATTACTAAGTTTTATAGATCAAATTTCGGAAGTTTTTGAAAGTG